AGAAAGAGGAGGAGAAAGAGGAGGAGGAAGAGAAATAGAAGGGGGAAGAGAGGGCAGTGCAGGGGGCGAAAGGAGAGGGTGTCCGCCAGGGGGAGGAGGAAAGAGCAAAGGGTAAGCTAAACATATTCTCATGTGGGGTCATACCGTCGGAGTAATTTTGTTTTTGGAAAGGAGAATGAACCCAATCAGTGGATGGTTTGAAAATTTGGAATCGGGCCGTGGTGTCCCGTCGTTAGATAATGGGATAGAAAATGAAAGCAATAGTGAGATCGATGGTGATATCGATACTGGGATCGGTGGTGAGTTCGACAGCGTAATGGATGATGTGATCGATTGTAATGTCGATAGTGGGATCGATAGTGAAGGCGATAGTAAGAGAACGTTTCTTTATGTTCGGCGATGACGGGCGTCATGGGGGGGGGAAGGGGGGGGGATGACGTAACGCCCCCCCCCCCCCCGTGTGGCTCCGGCAGTGCAGCCGCGCCCGCGCGCGCGACGCGACGAGCGACGACCGACGAGAAGACGACGACGACGACGACGCGCGAGCAGCGTGTAGGTGGCGATGTGCACTACTGCGCCTGTATACGCCGCAGCGCTCGCGTGCAACACAGCGCGCGCGCATGTATACCACAGCGCCTGCGTACATCACAATGTTTGCGTACACTACAACGCCACTGTACATGTGCACACCGCACCTACCATGTGCAACGCAGCGCCTGTGTACACCACGGTGCTTGCGTGCACAGCAGCGCCTGGGCACGCCACAACGCGTGTCTACACCACAACATCCGCGTGCAACGCAGCGCTGTACACCACAATGCCTGCGTGCATAGGACAGGTCGAAGGAGCATGTACGTGAGAATCTGCTGCGGACAACTAGACGCCACGCCAGGAATGTGCTGATAATCGAATGCGACGTTCTTCCTTCCTCCTTCCTCCTCCACCTCCACCTCCACCTCCTCCTCCTCCTCCTCGTCCTCCCCCTCCTCCTCCTCCTCCTCCTCCTCCTCCTCGTCCTCCTCCTCCTCCTCCTCCTCCTCCTCCCCCTCCTCCTCCTTACCCCCTGTCGCGCGGATTGGTGCTACAGCGCACGTGCGCATCTCAGCGCGCGCCGCTGAATGGTCGATTGAATCGGTCCACATATTTTTCGGACGGCCAATTTACCTCGAGCTTCCTGGACGCAGGTGGGAGGAATTAAAGTGATGCGGGCGGACTCGGGCGGACTCGTAGGTTCCAGCAGCGCTCCGCTGTCCATAAGGATTATTTTCTATTGCGCGCGTTCCATTTTGTCAAAAGGATTTTGTTCCCTACATAGGCTCTGCCTAGAAGGGTTCTCGCTCTCTTAGCTTAAAGGGCCAGGCAGTGCTAACCGCCCTGGGCGGTTCCCCCAGTCCCCGCCCCGCGGTTCCCCCAGTCCCCTGAGAGCTTTAGCTTTATCTTTAGCTTAGCTGTAGCTTAGCTTCAGCTTAGCTTCAGCTTAGCTTTAGCTCAGCCTCAGCTTAGCTTTAGCTTAGCTTTAGCTTGGCTTTAGCTTAGCGGCACCTTAGCGTTAGCTTAGTTTTAGCTTAGCTTTAGCTTTAGCTTTAGCTTTAGCTTAGCTTTAGCTTTAGCTTAGCTTCAGCTTAGCTGCAGCTTAGCTTTAGCTTAGCTTTAGCTTAGCTGTACCTTAGCTTTAACTTGGCTTTAGCTGAGCTGCACCTTAGCTTTAGCTTAGCTTTAGCTTAGCTTTAGTTTTAGTTTTAGCTTAGCCTTTGCCGTAGCTTTAGCTTAGCTTTAGCTTAGCCTTCACCGTAGCTTTAGCTTAGATTTAGCTTATCTGCACCTTAGCTTTAGCTCAGGTTTCGCTTCGCGGTAGCTTAGCCTTGGCTTGGCCTTAGCGTAGCCTAAGCTTAGCTTAAGCTTAGCTTCAGCTTTAGCTTAGCTTCATCTTAGCTTTAGCTTACCTTGAGCTTAGCTTAGCTTTCGCTTAGCTTTAGCTTAGCTTTAGCTTAGCTTTAGTTTAGTTTTAGCTTTAATGTTCGTGCTAATGCTGCTTTCCTGGGGGCTCCCACTCCTAGGTAGGGTCGCACTGGGATTATTCTAACATTCTATATGCAACAATGGTGCTGTGTTGCACACGGTTGCTGTGGTGCACACTGGCGCCGTGGTGCACACAGGCACTGCAATGCACGCAGGCATTGTGGTGTACACTGGTGTTGTGTCGCGCACGGCTGATGTGGTGTACGCAAGCGCTGCGGTGTGCACAACAGCTGTTGTGTCGCAGGCGCGGTGGCACAAAACTGACGCTGTGTTGCACGCGGCTGCTGATCGCCACCTACATGCTGGCGCTACCCGTCCTCCGTCATTCCTAGGCATTCCCATACGCCGCCGGCGCGACACGTGACGTCATCGACCCCCTCCACCCCCCCCCTAGCTGATTGCCGTCATCGGCCAGGATAAAAATTAGCCTGGCGAAGGACCCAACCATATGCAGTTGTGAATGCCGCAATTGTGCTGGGTGGTGGCGGACGCATGCGGGCGGTGCCACTGGGACCTTCGGTGGAGCTCCCTATGGGGCCACGAAACGCTGTACTGGGTGGGTGAGACGCGGTCAGCAAGGGCTGTGCTGCGTGGTGGCGGACGCATGCGAGCGGTGCCACTGGGACCTTCGGTGGAGCTCCCTATGGGGCCACGAAACGCTGTACTGGGTGGGTGAAACGCAGGCAGGGAGCAAGGGCTGTGCAGGGTGGTGGCGGACGCATGCGGGCGGTGCCGCTGGGACCTTTGGTGGAGCTCCCTATAGGGCTACGAAGCGCTGTTCTGGGTGGGTGAAGCGCAGGGAACAAGGGCTGTGCTGGGTGGTGGCGGACGCAAGCGGGCAGTGCCACTGGGACCTTTGGTGGAGCCCCCTATGGGGCCACGAAACGTGCGAGGGGTGTGCCAGAATGGGGTGTGGAACCGCATGCCAGCGCAGCCACTGGGGCCTTCGGTGGAGCTCCCTATGGAGCCACGAAACGTGTGAGGGGTGTGCCGAAATGGGGGGTGGAACCGCATGCGAGCGCAGCCACTGCGGCGTTCGGTGGAGCTCCCTATGGGGCCACGAGACGTGTGAAGGGCGTGCCGAAAAAGGGGGTGGAACCGCATGCGAGCGCAGCCACTGGGGCCTTCGGTGGAGCTCTCTATGGGGCCACGAACCGTGTGAGGGGTGTGCCGAAATGGGGGGGGAACCACATGCGAGCGCAGCCACTGGGGCGTTCGGTGGAGCTCCCCATGGAGCCACCCACGAAGCGTGTGAGGGGTGTGCCGAAATGGGGGGTGGAACCGCATGCGGGCGCAGCCACTGGGGCCTTCGGTGGAGCTCCCTATGGGGCCACGAAACGTGTGAGGGGTGTGCCAGAATGGGGGGTGGAACCGCATGCGGGCGCAGCCACTGGGGCCTTCGGTGGAGCTCCCTATGGGGCCACGAAACGTGTGAGGGGTGTGCCAGAATGGGGGGTGGAACCGCATGCGGGCGCAGCCACTGGGGCCTTCGGTGGAGCTCCCTATGGGGCCACGAAACGTGTGAGGGGTGTGCCAGAATGGGGGGTGGAACCGCATGCGGGCGCAGCCACTGGGGCCTTCGGTGGAGCTCCCTATGGGGCCACGAAACGTGTGAGGGGTGTGCCAGAATGGGGGGTGGAACCGCATGCGGGCGCAGCCACTGGGGCCTTCGGTGGAGCTCCCTATGGGGCCACGAAACGTGTGAGGGGTGTGCCAGAATGGGGGGTGGAACCGCATGCGGGCGCAGCCACTGGGGCCTTCGGTGGAGCTCCCTATGGGGCCACGAACGTGTGACAGAATGGGGGGTGGAACCGCATGCGGGCGCAGCCACTGGGGCCTTCGGTGGAGCTCCCTATGGGGCCACGAAACGTGTGAGGGGTGTGCCAGAATGGGGGGTGGAACCGCATGCGGGCGCAGCCACTGGGGCCTTCGGTGGAGCTCCCTATGGGGCCACGAAACGTGTGAGGGGTGTGCCAGAATGGGGGGTGGAACCGCATGCGGGCGCAGCCACTGGGGCCTTCGGTGGAGCTCCCTATGGGGCCACGAAACGTGTGAGGGGTGTGCCAGAATGGGGGGTGGAACCGCATGCGGGCGCAGCCACTGGGGCCTTCGGTGGAGCTCCCTATGGGGCCACGAAACGTGTGAGGGGTGTGCCAGAATGGGGGGTGGAACCGCATGCGGGCGCAGCCACTGGGGCCTTCGGTGGAGCTCCCTATGGGGCCACGAAGCGTGTGAGGGGTGTGTCAGAATTGGTGTGGGAGGGGGAGGAGGGGGGAGGAAGGGGAGGAGGAGGAAGGAGGAGGAAGGAGAAACGCGGGGCGACGTCTCTTCAAAACGAGGACCCAACACCACAGGATGGTTGGGGAAAAAACAGGGTTCTGCCGCGTCCGCGCGCACGACGACTACGAGCGACGAGCGACAAGCCACGGGCGACGACGACGACGACGAAGATTGCGGACCAGACTCCTGTGCGGATTCCTACGCGGACACCTACGCGTATCCATGTGCGCGCGGCGGCAGTGCCCGGAGCATACTGGGGGGGGGAGCGTTACGTCATGAGGGGGGGGAGCGGGGGCCATGACGCCCGTCATGCCCCAAGCAAGAAAGACACGGTCTTTAAGGTCGATCGTGAAGCCGATAGTGAAGTTGATTCAGCGAGATCGATCGTGCGATCGCTCGGGTGATCTGTAGTGAGATCGATTAAAGGGAGTAGATAATGTGATCATTTGTGGGATCGACAATTAAATAGATAATGAGATCGGTAGAAATATGGGTAATCAAATGGATAATGAGACCGATCGAACAACACATTGACAAATATTGCAAGAACCCGGAAACCCGGGAACCTCGCCGCCCACCGAAATCGGCCTGGAACCACCAACTGGGAATCCATTTCACTTGCCATCGTTGCAATTGACCGCTTCGTTTGGGAACCTAGCTTCGATGAGAACAACGCAAAGTTTGAAGCACACCCCGCTCGC